TTTCCCTTATGAGATAAGAATATAATTATAAACTTACCTTACTATATTTTTGGAAACTTTGGTAACTGAGATGAAATATTTTATAATGTTGTCAGATGAGTACTCTTCCCAGGGCCTAAGCTACTACAGACAAACAGTCTACCTCAGCACAGGTTTTCTTCTGCGACCAACAGTGGTCTACAGAAGTTGCATTCAATGTAAAATTGGTGTTCACTCAAAATTCCTTTTTGACATTTTTTTGCTTAATGTACTTTTTTGTTGAAGTTTGTATTATTGATAACAGCAAACTACGTTTTCCCTCTTTCAAAGTCTTTCAATGGTATGAATGAAAACTGTTTTTTTGTCCTACATCCTTTAGTTGTATAAGCCAGCATACCGCCTTACTCAGGAAGGAGGATGGAGGTTTGTTTATTTTGCAGAAAAAATAGGTCCTCACAAAAGCAGCAATGTTAAACTGCTCTCCTTGATCTCCTGAACTGTAGTCTATGGCCTCTCTAGATTCACTAGAATCAGAGATGAGAACTTATTTGCATCCAAATAGTTGAATGAAACTTCTTTTCCTATATACATTCTTTGATTTGGCCCAATCTGGCAACCATGTGGATCCACAGGCTAGTCAGCCCTGGTTATATTTAGTGAGACCATAGACTGCAGTTCAAGATCACGGAGAGCAGATAGGAAAGAATGTTTCTTTCAACTATTCAGATCCTTGGACGTAGTCCAGTAGTGCTCTGTTTTAGCTTTAGTTTTGGCTCTGTGCACGGCTGACATAGCCACACCTCCACTGAACCAAATCTGTGGAAAGGAACTCTGGGAGATGTAGGAATAACATGTTAGAATGTCTGAACTAAAATAATTCAATATTTTGAAAATTGTACCTTGTTAATTTTTTTTCTCTGTGTGTTTGTTTGACTGGACTTGACTGACTTTGTTTGACTTTGGTGTCTCTTAATCACTGATGATCAAATGCATTTGCTTGGAAAATACACAGTAGCAGAGTGAGTGATAATTCAGAGTTGGCAGCCAAAGGGCAAATTAGATTAGATATGGGCAAAATGGCCAGAAGATCAACCCTAGACTGAGGCGCAGTTGTAACGGCTTTAAGGCACAAATTTCCCATCCCAGAGGAACCCCTGTGGCTGTTTTTTGGCTCTCCAAGCCCTTTCAGGTGATCCTTTCAGAAAATAAACAGTCCTTATGTCTTCAGATTCCTCTCATGTCTGTTGAAAGACTTTTTCTACATTGGAAAAACCATCTGAATAGAGAATCAGAGAGTGTCTATTACTGTCGAGAATGTGAGGGGAGATCCCAAAACGATGGGTTTGGGATTAGTGCTGGATAACATTGAAAAAATATGGAAAATACATGAACCTGAATATTATGTATGCTGTGTCCCATTTATGGGGCTGCAACCTTTGAAGGTTCCATTTCTCAGCTGCATACATCATAAGCACCGTCCCATTTCAGAAGAATGTGGAGGATCATTGAAATGCGGCTGAGAAATGGCTGAATTCTGAGGATGCACCGTTGTATCCTCCTCAGCCCTGAGTTCCCGTGAGCCTCTGCGTTGCAAGCTACTATGATAAAGGAGCAGAGCCAGTTCAGACAGACAGTTTACCACAAAAATGGCTGTAAAATATGTTATGAATGACCATCCTGCCATTATATAGATGACCTGTTATATTTGAGTATTGATGTGTGACATTGTCAGTACACAGTTTCACTCACATTAATTAAAGTATGTAAGGAAAGGGTTGATTTTTTTTTAGCTTAGACAATGAACAGCGAGGGAGGCAAAGCTGTACCTAATCTTAAAATGGATTTCTTAATTAAAATACAACAGGGAAAGCAGGCTAACGCTACTAGCTAATGCTAAATCTGAACTTGAACTAGTTAAGTCACACAGCTGACTGTGAAGTGCAGGCAGGTGGGAAACTCACTAATGTTGACTCATCTGCTAGTTGATAGTTCAACTTCAGTTGTGATTTGAAGTTATGAGCAGACAGAAATAATTGTAAGGCTTCATGCTAAAATCTCTTCACAGGTGCAAGATGGGCATTTGTTAAATTTCAACTTATTTTTTTAACAAGCTCTCTTTTTATTAACCTTGATGGCTGCCTTCCTCACCTCTTGCTCGCTGTTGAAACTCCCCAAACTCAGCCTCACATCTGATTGGGGGTCAGGAGTGATGTCCCTGCTGCAGTTCTGAATCCTCAGTAGGCCAGATCATTTGGTGCTGTAGAAGCACAGACCGTTGCTGCTAAAGACGCTGTAAAAGATACGCTCTACTTAGCAATTGTCCCTTCAAATGAGACACACTGGTAGCATGTGAACATTGCCAAAGTTTTAAAATGTATCATTCCATATATGGAAACTAAGCTGCAGAAACAGCTTGTGTTCAATGTGCTTTTGTGATCTCACAAAAAACAACACATTTACATATATTAACCTATTCATCCTCTTCATTTTGGTATACAGAACCACACAAAAGTAAATGAACCTCAGAGGTAATAACAGTAAAGCACAAGAAAAATGTAGTATTTGGGCCCTTTGAAACATCACAGTATAATATGCGAAGCAGAATTTTTGCCTTTACTCAGTGTGTGATTTCAAATATAAATGTAGTTTGCTGTTTAGAAAAAGATCCCAAATTTGACGCTGCATTAAGAAAGCACAAATGCAGCCTGTGTGCCTGACATTGTTCTCTAATAACTATAATAGCTCCTGTGTTTCTCAATCAGTTTGACATTTTGCTTTCAGAGTGTATGTTTATTCTTTGAACACCTGGCATTTATCATTTGGAAAAGTTGCTGCAATTAATCTAGCAAATGTGAGTAAGAGCATTTCTTTTGTGTTAAAAGAATATTTTGTTTGGATGATGAGAACAATCGAGCCCCTAAGGCTCAAATTATGCCATTTTTAGAATATTGACATTCTTTCCATTTCAAGATTGTGAAATGCATTACTGCCTCTGATATTTTGGAAAGTGTAGGTCACTGCTTGGAAAATATCTAGCAGACCTCAGTTGCCCCAGGAAAATCAGTGGATTGAGGGATCAGATCAAAATATGTGCAGTAAGCCCAGAAAACTCACCTCCAGCTATGAGTCAGTAGAGGAACTTTCAACATTTAATTGATGGCAGCCTGAGGAGAACAGTAGAGAACAAAATCTCCATTTGCTGTAACTGATAGATTTGTACTTAAGGTCTAGTCTTAGGGGCTCTGAACTAATTTTCCTATGAAGAGCCCAATATGCAATCTAAAGCTCTGAATGTGGTGGGCCGCAGTGAGGGATTTCTGCAGTGGTTGTATAACATTCAGCGAGTGGGTAACATGAAAGGGGTTCACATGAATAATGGTTTTATCATGCCCCTGTACAGTGAGCATGTGCATATATGAACCATTCTACCGAATTAGCTCAAACAATAAAACCCTAAGATATTTACAGGGATTATGTTATGATCTATTTATACCCAAGACAATAAATTGAGAAATTAATAAGTTAAATATGCACAAAATCATCAGTCATAAGGTACTTTTTACCCCTGTATTTTTGTTAATTTTGTGAAAATGGTACAATTTTGTTGTATTTTTATTCTGATTTTCACAATTTTTTTAAAAGTGAAGTTAAAAATTTTGATTTATAAGTTGAATAAAAAAATACTTTTTTTCAAAAAATGCTGTTGTCTATAGGCAGAGCCTTATTTTAGCCACACCCCTGCATTTTAAAAGTGAGACTGCATCCCTGTTCCATATGGCTACATGAGGATTAGTTAGATCCCACTGTTTAGAAAGTAAATATGTCCCAAAATCTGAAAATCAGCATGTAACATTTAAATTGTTGCTACCAAAACACAGATTTTCTGTTATTATTTTCTTCTGTCTTTTAAGGAAACACATTTTGATTTTATGTGTGTACAGCTGTCCAATGCCGCGCTTGCTAGTAATGTTTCGGCTAGCGTTTTTGAGTTCTACTCAAAATTAGCTCAAATTGTCACTACCAAAACAGTCATTTCACAAACATTTGGTAAAGTTTTGGAAGCTTTATTATTGTATATGTAGTGATAAAATGTTCAGTAGTTTTTAGCAAATTAAACATAATTAAGGTAGGGCTTCATTCAAAGCGAAATGACTTTAGTCCAAGTCAGTAAAAGTCCAAAATGGGTTTTCAATTCTGACTTTGAACTGATTTCACAAAATTTTTCTTATACTTTCTTAAAAAAAGATGGTTCTTCAAAGGTTCAGTAGCAAAGGAAATGGATATATGTAGAACCATGAACACTCAAAGAACCCCTTGCATGATTAAAGTGTTCTTTGCATTGTAAAAGGATTCTTCAGATTGATGGAGAATCTGTATATGTTTCTATGTGGAACCTTTTTGAAAAGAGTTCTATACAGCATCAAAAAGGGTTCTTCTGTTGTTATGTCAAGCTTGTAACAATAAAAGAACCCTTTTTGGTGCTGTATAGCACCTTCTTCAAAAAGGTTCCACATAGAAACATATAGATTCTCCATCAATCTGAAGAATCCTTTTAGAACTGAAGAATCAATCTGAAGAATCCTTGTAGAACCATCTAAAGCACATTCTCAATTAATCTGAAAAACTTCAATGTTCATGATGCAATGAACCCTTTAATCATGCAAATGGTTCTTTGAGTGTTGATGGTTCTACATACAACACTTTTCTTTGCTACTGAACCTTTGAAGAACCATCTTTTTTGAGTGTGTAGGGTGGAATCCTGGAATTAACTTTCGCCTATGAAATGAAAATGCCTCTTTTCAGAATTAACCAGGAACCATAGTATAGTAACTATTTAGTGCATGCATTTTTCACTCATGCAATTGTATTTGGCACAGTAAAATTAAGCACTTTTGGGCAATGCTGGCATTCATAGTGTAACATTTACTGCATGGTCAGCACAGCCCTGGACCTGCAGCACCAGGCACAAGATAATTACAACCGCAGTTTACTAATAAATGAAATGAAACCCCCATCAGCCGTTCAGTTTTGTGGGTTTTTATTTTCCATTTGTAAAAAAACGTACACTGCATTTTAGAGTAAAACAATGTTTCTATTATGTGCATAAAAAGAAACAGTACTTGTTTTAAAAAGTAGCACTTTTGTTTATGTGCATTGTGGCTTTTGTAGTATAAAATGGAACTTCAGGTAGAGTTTTCTTCCCATCACAAAAACAAACCCACATGTCAATAGAAACAGAATAGAAAATGCTTAACGTATCTGGCTCTCAAAGGCAAGTAACTTAGTCCGTACATCAACACAGCATAATTGCAATTTATCAAGCCCACCTTACTCATAAGTGTGCACGTCTGGGAAACTTGTGTTCAAACTTAAGAATGACAATAGTAAATATGCTTTATATTGAAATCTTCCTCCTTTCTTCCTAAAGCTTAGGTGATCAGTTGCTTAGTGGCATTGCAAAGCAAATTCTCAGAAACAACATTTTGTTCATACCTTCAATACCGCAACTTTACCTCTCAAGCTACGTCTCTCATAGTGCTGTTGCGAGTAAGCAACTGGGTCCTATTGAAGATTTCATGTGCCTCTGGGTGCAGCATAACTGCATTTGCAGTTCTCCGCAATAATCCAAAATCCATTGCATCGCCAGCAGCTCGTCAGACCTTCATACTTTAAAGAAATTGTGCCAGCTGTGACACGACTATATTGGACTAATTTGCTGGGAAGATGGGAAGAAAACATCTGAACAAAAGTATTGCCCAAGTCTGCCTTTTATAGGCCAATATCACTATTGAAAAAACTGGACTTGTCAGAGATCCTCCCATGGCTCCTTCAAGGATAAGGGGTAAAGGGAAAAAAAAGTGATTTTCCCCAAATAAGAATGCAAATGATAGGGAAAGAAACATAATTTGAGAAATATTACAAATATAACATGAAGAAAATATATGAAGAATATCAGGCTCTAAAATTTCAGGGGGGAAAAGTAAATGACGATTATGTGTCATGATACAACCAATTAGTTATTAGGCCTGGTGATAGTTTAGGCTCCATACATTCACTTTACATTTCATTGCAATGTGGTCACAGTTCATAGTGTTCAAACAACAAACAAGTGTTGAGGACATTTTTATACTGGGAAGAATCATTATTATGGCTGCGAAATTTACACTGGCCATTTGTTTAGGCGAGCCAAAACAAATTGTCAAGTTTACAATTTTCAAGCTAATTTTTTTTAGTTTTTCCCTCATTATAGACTGACAAATTCAATTAATATATTGAACATGCTATAACTGAAGAGATATGTTGCCCAGCAATCAGTAGAAACTAATATGAAAAAGAAAGTTAACTCTGAAATATCTGGAATGTTGCATTATGAAACAGTTTTCAATATCTTCCATTAGAGCAGTGGTTCCCAACAATGATACCACAGTTCCACTGTACATTTAAATGTTTTCCCTTTTCTAACATGCTTGATATAACTAATCAGGTAATGTACAAGTTGTTCTTTTGTGTTTAAGTGGGTGCATAAGAACATGGAAAACACAAAAATATGGAAGTTAGGGGATCTCAAGGACCAAAGTTGAAATCCACTGCTTTAGAATATAAGATATTCACAGTTTTTATGGTAGTTCATACTAATTGACTGCACTGGTTTCAGATTTGATGCTTGTTTGTTGCTGATCATTGGTTGCTCTGTGAGCTAAAGTGATGGTAGACCATCACTGGTGAGCTCTGTAGCAGTAGGCACCATAGAGCTTGTGTTTCTTGTCAGGAAATCCAATGAAGCGGACGGCGGCTTCCGTCGGGCTGCACTTCATTCTGGGCCTGGAGATGGGGTAGCGAACACTGCCATCTGACAGCCAGCCAGCATCGCAGCGGTCATAACCATGCAGCTTCCAGGCAGCGAACATGTGCCCAACCTTGGCGAGCTCAGCTCCATCGTCCTGGCAGGCCTGCACAGCCTCGGTGTAGGTCAGCTTCTGGTCCACAAAGAAGACTTGACCTGGCAACCAAAAGTGGTGGAGAATGTTAATCCCCTGATCCTACACTCTTAAAAAAGGTGCCAGAAAGGGTTCTTTATTCAATGCCATAGAAGAACCATTTTTGGTTCCCTTCAATGGATGATGCTTTGGAGGACCATTTTTGCAAAGGAGCTGTGTGAGTGTGAAGAGCCTTTTTAAGGTTTATAGAACCAGAACACAATTTAAAGGTTCTAGGAAGAACTCTTAAATTAATAAAGAACCTTTCTGCAAACCTTTCAAAGTTTCTTCACACTCATTCATTTCTTTTCCAAATGTAGTTCTTTGAGCAATGCCATTAAGTCTGTTTTTTAATTGTGGTTCTTTAGGGAACCAAAAGTGGTTCTTCTATGGCATTGCTCAAAGAACTCTTTGTCATACCTCTATTTTTAAGAGTGTAGGCTTTTTATTTGATTATTAATGTCAAAACCTATTATTCAGTAATTACTATAAATTATTAGGTAATTACTATGTCACTAATATGTAAGTTATGTAGTAATAACTGTAGTTTCTCTTATTACCTGGCTAGGCAGCAAATAAAATAAAGAGTATATTGTTTAAAGGTATTTGTTATGGTAATATTCCTTATTCAACATTTATTTTGTGCAAATCTAGTTGCCATATAGCTGCTATTTGTATTCCTTATCCTTACTTATGTACATGTATCCATACAACTGAGCTGTGTGTATTGCTTTCCATGCTTGTTTAAGTGCAAAATGTATATGCAAACTGTGTTAAAAGCATGAACACCAAAATAAATATATAATAAATGCTACCATTTGTGTCACATAAATATGATTCTAATGAACTGCACATAATTTAGCTAGTAATTTGGAAGGATTAACATAATAATAATAGACTAGTCAAGAACTTCATTCACCATCGTATCCACCAGTGAAGCAGAAGACATCAAAGTGGCTGTTGGCCTTGTCCCGCTGACCATAGCTCCTCAGTCCAGCACCGGCCCTCGTTCCTCCACAGGGCTCTCTGGGTTTGGTGATGGGGTACTGCACGGTTCCGTCACTCAGCCAGCCAGCATTGCACCAGTCCAGCCCACCTTTCCAGGCTTGGTAGAGCTGGTCGAAGGAAGCCACCACAGCGTTCTGTTCTAGGCAAGCCGTCTCAGCATCATGGAAGTTCAGGTTGTAACGACCCAGACGAGGGGAGTATGGGAAAACAACCCCTGTGAAAGAGAGTGATGCTTCCCCTAAGGAAAAGTTCAACTTGATGATATTAGAACATTTCAGCAAAGGCATAGCACTTCATCACAATAAAAGACACAAGTCCACTTACAGTAGTGAGTCTCTTATTGTGACACCTTTGCTTTGAAGTAATGTATAACTTTAATTAACTAATAGACCTCATATGTTACCTTAGGTTACCTCAGGAGTTGCAGCAGTATTGATGAGTTCAGTGAATACAAGAGAACACAAGATGAGGAAAAGCCATAGACTTGCATAACTGTGTGCCACTGTATTAGCACTGCTGAACACGGAATAGGCTGAAGTATCAATTACGTCTGTGCTCTCCTTGCAATCCTTGGGCATGTATATCAAACATCAGTGAACAAAGAAACAAAAGAGATCTGGCTTTGATTCAATTGTGGAAAAATGACTTGCAGGAGACTGAAGCCTTTGATTGTTCTGTTCTGTGTTTCAAAGCTAACCATGTCCATTTGTGGCAGCCTGTTTTCATTATGGCTAGGCACCATGCTCGTTTGAGTCAATCCCCCTTGTTACTCTCGTGCCATGTGTGCCAGGGCGGTCTTGGCCAAAGGCAAGAAAAAAATAAATGGACTGCTGCTCATAGTAAACTAATTTGTATTCAAGATAAACAATACTAATATTAAAAGAACAGCAATCTGTCTTTGTCTTTGTCTTTAGCTGACTTAAAGAAAGCTAAAATTTTGAGTGTTTAGTTTGTTTACTTGCTGGGGGGGATAAAAAATGAACAACATTTGGAATATATACACGAGAGTTTCAATAAACAGACAAATTCATTGAGCTGCTTGTAAAACCCACATTTCTATACTAACCCAAGACAATGCTTTCAATTTTGCTAAATTTAATTACCTTGCATTCGAATCTCCACTTCAACAATGTTTTCGTCCATGCCTCTAATGATCTCACACCTGTACATGCCAAAGTCTTCCAGCTGCAGATTGTTAATAATCAGGGTGGCATCGTTTTCGTCAGCCTCCTGGAGGTGGGCATGGTTTTGGAAGCGTCCATATTTCACCTTATGGAAGCCCATAGAGACCAGCACGTCGACTTCATTGAAAGCATCTTCAAGCTTGATCCACTTGATTCTGGTCCCCGTTCCACCAAAAGAGAAGCCGGTGTTATGTGTCAGCCGGCAAGGCAGGGTGACATTGTCTCCAGGGTTGGCAAAGATTTTGTGCCGACTTTCTGAAAACAGAAAATAATATATGGAGATATAGAGATTAGCTCTCAGTGTTTAGTCAAATAATCTAAAAATGGCTGATAAGTGACCCCTCAGCAAATAACAGTAGAAATTAATCTGTAAAAAATCATGCCTAATTACCACTAATTGATCATAACTGTTCTGTAATTACATGTAATTACATTATTGTGAATATGTAATTGTATTTATTAATTTTAAGTTTGTCAAGTTGGTAATGTTCTTGTATGCCATGGTAATATATTGCAATGATTGATGTCTGAAGGTTGAGAAGAAGCCCTAGATTTTCATAACTGTGGCAGTCTAACTGGAAAAGAACACATTACCCATGACTTCCATTTGAGGACATAATTAAAATAGATTTCGAAGGAATGGAATTGTCTACTTGAAATGACTTCTAACCCCAGTCCAACTTTTCAAACAGTACATTTTTGTCATGAAGCAAACTGCTGGTGGAAACCTGCTGTGTCTGTTTGAGGTTCAGGGCTATAATTATCTGGGTCAGCTCCTGCAGAGGTTCTCTAATCTGGAGTACCTTTGAGGAAAACCCAGAGAGCCCCTCCATTCTCACGGTTCCTCAGTTGGAACCTTTAACATATCATGAAAGCCCAAGGAGGCCAAGGCTCTCCTTGTCAATGGTTCTCTATCATCAAAGCATCTCCCCCCCTGACGTGATTAGATTTATTTTTGGGCACCAGCCAGCATCCTCCTTCCTTCAGTGGGTCAAACTGTCTGCAGCTGCTTACAGCCAAATCAGCCACAGTGAGAAGCACTGTCAAATGCAAGATTAGGCCTTAATGGAGATTAAACATTTATCTTTCGTCTACCCCATCTGATTTGTGGAAAACATGAGCTTGGCAGTGCGCCAGCCAAAGACTCAAAGACTCCTATTCTACTCATGCTATAGCTGCCAGACTATGTCTATTTAACAGAGATGGAGCTCTCTACTTACTTTTTCCCAAAGTGTCTTTGACCACCAAAGAACATTTAAACATTTCAGCATGTGTGTCTATTTTAAAGGCATAAAACAATTTCCAAACAAGTTCCAAACCATTTACATAATAATCAAATGCTTCTCTGGACTCCAAAGTTAATGGAAGATTTGACTACAAACTTAGCAAAACAGGTTTTATATAGCACCATAACAAGGTTCTATGAACCCTTTGTGGTGATGTACATAACTCTTTTAAAAGTTTTAAAAGTTTCTTTAAAGCCTTTCTTAGATTTGCCATAGTTGTATGTACTGGTAGTGTAGTGGTAGGTGAGGTAATCCAGCAACCGCAAGGTCATTGGCTCAAATTCCTGGACTATGCTCTTGGGCAAGGCACTTAACACCCCACTGCCCCATGTGGTATTGCTCTGCTGGCAATGCCTATTGCTGATATTGCAATTATAAATATCTAAGTCCTTAAGTTTTTTAGTGTCCCAAAATTTGTATAGTTTGAAAGTATCACAAACTATGCCTTTGCAATTTTAAACAATGAAAACAAAATAACTAATGTGATAATAATTTTGGGACATTAATAAACAACATTTACTACAGTCTACTTTTAATTTATCCTCAATTTGCAATCTCTTAGAATCCTAGTATCATTTTAACTGCTGGATTGAGCATCTGTTAAGAATCTCCTTAATCCTTCTGCACTCTCAGGAGTTTTCCTGTAGGCTTCTGGAGCCACGGCAAAACCATAACTTGTGAAATGTTCCACTACCAAAATCTTTCCCACATGTGCTGCAGCGGATACCAGGATCACTACCAGTCTTTCTGCCTTCCGCCCCAGACTATCTCTCCTTACCTCAGCCTTTTCCTTCCTCTCTGCCTCAAGACACTCCATTAACCCATGCCCTTCTTCTTTATCTTCATGATGTTCATTCTGCACGTGGAAAATGCATTTGCCACGCATTTAACATCCATCGATCTCTTATGCAGCCTGGTATGGGTGCTAAGCATGTCAGGCACTAAGCAAGTAATGAGAAATCACAGTTCGGTAATTAAAACAATGAGGCGATGACAAAAGGCAAAAGAGCTTCTCTGCTCACTGAATTTGGGGATTAGATCCCATTGTATCACTCGCATGTGAATTACAGTTTCCCTCTTTGCTTAATAAACTAGAACTAAGTGGACAGTGAGCCAATGCTGAGGCGGAGGCAACTGACATAATGGCTCATCAAACGGCAGCTGTCCAGATGTGACAACATCGGTAATTTATGACCCAGAGATTGCGATCTGGGCTCCACACACATGAGCCTTGGAGACAGAGCTTACTCTTGTCTGGGAGAATGGAAACACTGAGAGGGTCCAGACATTTTTAAAGTGCCCACTGTGGTTTACTGAGCCAGTGGTGATTTGGAGAGAATAGATTACAAAAGACAAAGAGCCATATCTCTTCATGAGTAAGATAAAAAAGTTGGGCATAAGTCTAGAGGCTTCATATTGTCTAGAATAAGGAACCTTTGCAAATATTCAGCTTGTCTCGTGTTGATATTAAAGGAAAAAGGCAGTATTCCTTCAACAGCAAGCTAGAAGATTTAAAAAAGGCATAAGGGTTGAGTAAATCTATTCAGAGTCTTAATATTGTTTGGAAAAATGGAACCATTACTGAGCTTGTTTTGAAATGATATTGAAGGAAAAAGACAATTTCTCTTCAAAAGCAAGCAAAAAGATCAAAAATCTATGCATAAGGGTTTAGAAGTACATTTAGAGACTAGGTATGGTCTAGAAAAAGAAGGAACTTTTTACATTTCTGGCTTGTCTTAAATTGATATTTAAGGATAAAAGCCATATCAGTTCAAGAGCAAACTAGAAGATCAAAGATAGGCATAAGGGTTGAATAGGTCTATTTAGAGGGTAATTATTGCCTGGAAAGATAAGGAACTTTTGTTATTATCAACGTTTTTAAAAAACTAATATTGAACAAAAAGGGCAGTCTCTTCAAGAGCAAGAAAGAAGATTAAAAAGCTAGTCATAAAGGTTGATAAAATCTATTTACAGGCTAAATATGGTTTTGAAAAAAATGGAACCATCCCAAACTTCAATGTAATTGAAGGAAAAATGCAATCTCTCTTTAAGAGCAAGCAAGAAAGAATATCAAAAAGTTAGGCGTAAGTTTTCGAAAAGTCTATTTAAAAGTTAAATATTATCAGGAAAAGAAGAAACACCTTGACTTGATATTGAACCTGATATTAAAGCAAATAGACCATTTAAAGCAATATAGCTATAAAGTCTAAAATTGGACCTTATACTCTTAAAAATGATGGTTCTTCGAGGGTTCTTTAGTAAAGACAATGGTTCTTTATAGAACTATGAACACTCATAAAACCCTTTGGTTTAATTGAATTAAATGATTAATGGGTGCTATATGGAGCCCTTTTCAAAAAGGTTCTATATAGAACCATATAAAACACATTCTCCATCAATCTGAAGAACGCATTTACGATGCAAAGAACGCTTTAATCATGCAAAGGGTTCTTTAAGTGTTCATGTTCTATATAGAACCATTTTCTTTGAAAAAGAACCCTTGAGGAACCTTCTTTTTTTTACATGTGTATGGTTAAAAAGGTATCTTTAGAGGCCAAATATTGCCTAGAAAAGAAGGAACCTTTCTGCAAATACCCAGCTTGTCTTCAACTGATATCGAAGGATAACAGGCCTAGATATAAGGGTTGTCTTAGACTTATCTTTAAGTCTATCTTTAAAAATATCCAGCTTGTCTTAAGCGAATGAACAGAAGTCAGTCTCTATAAGAGCTCAAACATAGCCAGGAATAAGTCTATTTAGAGGCTGAATATTGTCTGGGGAAAGACTGAACTGTGCTAAACATGGTTTACATTGCAGTTTGTCTTGCTGTTGACATTTTACATTATGCTAGTCATTTCCAAGCTCTTTGTTCTGGTCTGCCTACAAGTAAGCACAGTAGGTCTTTGGTTACTTTTTTCTTCCAATAAATGTGCTTTGCATTACAGAGCCGGCTGCCCCCCACCCCCGCCCCATGTCTGACTCCCTACAAAATATATATCCCATTCGGCAGCCCTTGACTACGGTCCAGAAACAGTGGGAGCGAGAAGTGTGTCCTGCCTTGCTCTCCTCCCTCAGCAACAAAAGAGTCGAGAAAAATGCCCAGTGCTCATAAAAGTCAGAAGCATGCGTACTTAACTGCTTGGCACGGTGCATGGAGCATTTTTTTAACCTTGCTCAGAGCTCTTCCACATCATAGAGTAGCTTATTTGTACAAGGGTCTTAGTTAAGCTCAGGGTCAAAAAATAATTTTCAACATTTTAACAGTTATCTGAAGATTGATAGATTTTTTTTTCCGAAACATTTTGTGATGATAATGGGAAAAAGATCAGAATGAAAATTACTATCCCAACCGGTATGGATAGCAATTAAAAGTACAGGAGCAGCCAAAACCCGCTGCCATTTTACGAGGCAAAGGACATCACTGTCACACAGTAAAAGCAACATTACACAACTGAGAGATCAGGACCAGCTGCCTCTTCGAGTGAGGAAGGGGTCGGGAGGGGGGAGGGGTTGCTGTAAATTTATGGTAACGCAATGATTTGGTGTGCTAAATCATTTCACTCCAGTCCTCAGCTTTCTTACATCTGCTATACTGGCAGACTAACAGGCTTTGGACACATTCAGGAAACAGTTAGTAAGCCCCCTAAATCCTTTACATTCTAATTACGCAGTTCTGAGTCTATAGGGACGGGCTGGTTTTGGGTCGCCCAGCTGTGTCTGCTCATGTGACATTTCAGAAAATGGTTTGTATTTCTATTACAGGCACCATCTCGCACATCCTGAGCATCTTTGCTGAGCAAGCAGGAGAACATGCTTATCCACACATCTGGGTGCCACGCCCTCTTTCATAACATTCACATGTAAGCTGCATGAACTCCCAGTGTTATAGATCATCCGCAAATGTGAGCACAGTGGAGGACGTTTATTTATTTTTGCTTTTTTTATTTCTTTTTCTCTGTCTTACATAGACAAATTACTACTATAGTAAATCTTATTTTGACCTTTTAAAACCCACCCTGGTCACAGCTGATCTCTTCCTATAATATTTTGAATTCTTATCCTAAATCCCAGTTCTTACTTTGAGCTGAAGCCTAAACCCAACTAATACCATCACATATTGCCTAATCATAACCTTCAGTACATGAAACACATAAGCTTTTCTTGACAACTGACATAAGCCTACATAAACATTCATAAAGGCTTATTTCAACAAGTGTCAGTTGTTATAAATACTTTTGTCAACATTGATGGCATGAGTTAACTATTGGAATAAGTCTTTATAAATGTCTATATTGATTGAAGTCAGTTGTCATGAAAGACTTATGTAGCCTTCTTTTAGCCTGGTATATGTTGCCCTTGTGTTACAAATGAAGCTATAATTATATTTTGAAAAATCCAATCTTTAAAAAACATGCATTTCCATTGTTCCATTTTTCTACATCATTTGGACATGGTGGCTGTCCTGTACATTGTATGAACATTCCATAATGAATGGACCAATAGAAATGCTCCAAAATCACTTGGAATAAAACCTTATTACAACAACTTACATTAAAAATGATGCCTTCTCCTGTAAAGTTACTACATTGGAGATATGTGTTTTTCTTTGGACAGCTGCAAAAAGGTACAGCTTCATTTGTTGTACTTATGATTGATGACCAAAGAATGTCCACATTTGTTGTAAAAGTTCTGTTTTTCAACTCTAGTGGTGTAGCAATGCAGGAAGCAGATGATGGAGGTACAACTGGAAAGTTGCTCCTCTGAGGTCCCTACAAGAGCCCCAACCTCCCCCTCCCCTTAGAGAGAGCAAAGGTGCCTATGACCCTATATTTTTTGCACCGAGAGCTCCCACTGCACTCTAATTTGTACACAATTCTTCTACTAGAGACTATTATGACTATATCAATTGAAATGTGAGGATGCTTATATTTGAGAACGCACTGACATAAACTTGAACTTAATATTTTTGTGGACGAAGGATTGTAAAGGTGTATGTTAGCATCCAATGGAGCAATGATTCTCCTTACAGGATCAGATATGGCACTCTAACCTCCTTAAAGTATTTTAAGATGACCAGCAAAATGTCCTAATTTATTGATTTATTGCAGTTGTGTTTATTTTGCTATGTTAGTTGAGGAAACACATGCACTCCTGCTGAGCCATGGCAGTCTAATGGCTGTATGATGCCTTGCCTCCCTCATGAATCTGTCCTGTTTTGAGCAGCCCCTAAAGAAATAAACGCACAATAGCCCTACCCCCTCTCCTCCCAAAGCCACCACCCAGGCCCATCCAGCCTGCTAGCTTAACAGACCATTACCTCAGAAGGAAAGGGAGGGGCACTTGGCCAGAGTTCAGCAAGGGGCTCTGTATGCTGGAGCTGTTAATCTTGCTCTCGGAGCCTGTCACATTCACACAAAGTGGCGCTGGTGGAGTGAAAGGATCTGGCGATGCCCATTCACATAAATTGAGGTCTGCTGTAAGGTGCCCCAGAATGCTAAGCGTTTACTCAGAAGGATTGTATCACGCCTACAACAGAGCCACTTTACGCACAGTTGAAAGGATGCCTTACCTCCACAGCTGGCTGCCAAATATTACAAGACACTGTTTAAATTACAACACGTCTCGTACAAGTTTTAGTGCTGACTGAGCACGTTATGTTACCCTGATGTTAAAGATGTGGTATAAAATAGCTATGGAGTTTTATGTAATGTTTTAGATACAAGTCATAGTATATTACATGCAAAAAATATGTAATGAACATATATTCCAATACATTTTGGTCACATTTTGGAATATATTGATGATGTATTCCATTTTCTATGGCAGAAAAGAGTAAAAAATTAAGATAAATGTCACACTTGCAAACAGGAACTGTTATCTTTTACATTTTACATATTCAACATATATTCCAATAGATTTTTGTCACATTTTGGAATTTATTGACAATATATTTTATTTTTATGGCTAAAATCAAGATAAGGCTCACACTTGCAAAAAAACACTGTTATCTTTACATTTTGTATATGGAACATTATATTAATATATATTAATATAAAAATAATATTCCAATAGATTCTAGTCACATTGTAGAACATATTAACAGTGTATTGGTAATATTGATAATATTTCATTTTCATATGGATGAAAACAGTATAACTGAAAAATCAAGATTCACAGTTGCAAACAGAGAATGATATGTTTTACGTTTTATGTATTGAACATATATTCCAATAAATTATAGCCACATTTTGGCATATAGTAATAACATATTGACAATATAATCCATGTTTGACTAAAAAGAGCACTGAATTGAAAAATCAAGACAAGATTTACACTTGCAAACACTTACATTTTACATTTTACATTTATTTTTAATTCACACTTCATTCATTCTAGTCAGGAGCTTAGAGCATCCTGCTGAATTTGTAAGGAGCCCAATAAATTCTCCCTGTAAAGAGTTACCAGTGCTACTTTTAGCCACAAGCAATTTTCCTCTGTTTGAGTGCACTACAGTACAATCACACACCCCCTTACACATATACAAACAAACACAGGGTTCGCTCGTTCATTCACACTCAAAAACATCTGAGATTTGCCTTACCTGCTGTGTATGCATTGTTGGCAAAGGTCAGACAGAACAACACAAAGGAAAGTAGACTGATCATCTTCTTGTCTTTTTCCCTTTGTCTAAGGGCCTCTTCACTAGAAAAGCAAAAAAAAAGAAAGAGGGGAGAACTGGCTCAAACACAGGTCAACACTAACACTGGATGATGCACACAAAACTGTTCTGCTTTTCCCCTTTTTGTGGTGGAGAGGTGCAGGCAGCTGACGGTGGAGGTGCCACTGGAAAGTTTGGGCTCCTCAGAGGTCCCCACAAGAGCCTTTTATTGAAGCCCCGGCCAGCTAAGACCACTCCCCCTCCCCTTAGAGAGAATGAAGGCGCCCATCACCCTATACTTTTTGCACCGAGAGCTCCCATTGCACTCTAATTTAGGCCAGGTTCTTGCCTTCTGTGCTCTCTGTGGTTGTTCTTTGAGCTTCCACAGGATCTATAGGTAAACATGTATCACAGTGTTGATATGCAAAGCTAATTATAGGGATTCATATCTATATATTGCATAATGTAGGAATAATGTATGTTACGTATGTTTCAAAGTTAGCCAACTGAATTAAGAAGAGCGTGACCACTAAGTGGAATTTTTACCAACTTTTATGACTTGGACAGCAAACTCGCTATAAAACCCAGGGAGAGACTACTACATCATTTGAAATGTGGGGATGATAATAATATGAGAACGTGCTGACAGAACCTGGAACTTAGTAATTAAATTGGCTAGATCTTACAGCACGGTATTAGCACCCAATGGAGCAATGGTGCACTTAATGCATCAAAAGGTTACATATAGTAGTCTCACCTGCACAAACTACATCCATAGTCATGTAGTGGAAAATGTAATATAACCCAGATTTGGACATGAGGATTGATTTTTTTCATTTGCTTCATCCAACAGAGCAATGGCGCTACATGTTAACGCCTTCCAGGCAACTGCTGTGCATGTCTGTAGATTTACAGCCAGCCAGGCCATCCTGTAATCCCCATGTTCTCTTGACTAAACATCTCCTTTACACGCCTCCCACCTCCAAAAAAATCTGATGGGGGAGGAACATGGAAGAGATAGTGACCACTTGACCACATAGCAAAACCCCATCCACGCCCTAATATAGGACTATGCATTGCTCTTGTTCAGATAAGGAGGACATGCAGAGGCGTTGGTGCCAGGAAGTGTGTGGTCCCTTAGGGATGTTTTTTCAGCCATCTGCCTGCACATTGACTGGCAAGAGAACAGGGAAGGATGCCTGCGCTCCACAGATGGTCTGCTAAGTCTCTTGTACAGTTAGTCCAGCTGTGGATGTTCGTAGGTTTTAAGGCAGAAAAACCCAAATTGCACTGAAAGCTGCAGACCCATAGGCCCCAATGTATACACTCAAGCCCTACGAAGTCATAGCCCCCACACCCAAAAGTAAGTGCACTAAGGTTTATGGTGGTTACATAATCTTTCCCTGCGATGGTGGCACTGACTCACTCATATGACTAATGATGAAGGGCCTATGGTTTGGAGCAGGAGTAGAAGGCATGATTCACTCACTTTGAGCTTTAACTGTGTTGCTATTACGTATTTAGTGTTAATGATATGCTCATAACATGCTTAATGTATTACACCAGTAACAGAAGTTGGTCTCTAAAGCGCAACACTACAAACTCAGTGCACCAAGACCACCTTCGGCAAGCTGCAGTAATCACCCTTTTTGTTTGCTCATGAGCTGTAAATCAGTGCAAGAAAATTAAGTGCTCTTAACTGTGGTCGCAAGAAGAACAAAGCGGAGTCTGAGATATTAGCTCACAGGTCTTTTTTCCAATTGCTTGATTTCCCAAGGAACACTTGAATGGCATGATGGCAAGATAGTGTGCAAAATGCTACTTACAACACAGCAGAGCTCTTGTTGGCCCTGGAGCCGAACAAAGCACAATGGACAAAAAAATTACCCATACGATAACACAAAAAATGTCGTCTATGGCCCTTATCTATTGAAATAGGTCAGTAGGCTTTAAAGCCAAATATCATTTCAAGCCAAAATAAGGGCAGAAAACTGAGTATAGCACTAGATATTGCAACTATCTACCAGCTAAACACTTACTACAGTAAGAGTATCTGTTGCACATTCAGCAGATTTCATCAGGAGAGGATATCTTGAGCTTTTTGCTTAATTTAACATTTAGGTCTGGGATCTGTTAACCACATAAGGGCACAAGCCCATGTCTCTCTTATCAGAAACATGTTTCCTTTAAGGCTCTTAAGTGGCTGTCTCATTTGTCCTTGCCATTCACGTTAAAGAAATTGTAAGCACTGTTAATGTTGTACAAGAACAATCAAATCAGATGAAGGACCAAATTTCATTTTTGGGCTTTTATAAGAATCTATACATCTGATCTATGCTATCATGTTGAAATTGAAAAATGATTTGGCATAATGATATCTAGCCATCTGTTCCATTTATACCAAATACTTTCTTAGCTAACCTTTAGAGAGAGAGGATAAAAGCCCATCTCTTGCTTTCAAATCCTAAAGTTGGCCTCTTGCTACTGCTATAGAAGCATTAGCCTGGCATGGCAAAATTGGCCTCACAAATCCATTTGTTTAGATTAAGAATGGCAGCAGCACCCTCCCCCCATTTGATATGCAGCCCAGTGCCCAGTTAGTGGGAACACTCCCAAAGCAAACAAAGTGTGAGCCTCAAATGAGGGTGAGGTGCCACCATGAAAAGTCATCAGTTATAGGCCCTCCTTCACACTTACAATTCGTTATGTGAGCAGAGTCATTAGCATGAGTCATTTTATGGGTGGGTCGCATGAACATATGCTTACAGAAGAGTGCCTTATGACTCAGCCCCTCAAGGGAGCAAGGTAACATCTAATAAACATATACATGGAGAAGGAAGTGCAGTACCTATGGATGTGTATGGAAAGTCTGGAAGTCAAAGCGTTTCCACCCAGGACCCTTCCCTACAATTCGGCTGTGTCAGAGCCAAGTGTCTGGAGGCTATGAGCACATTAACAGCTGGCCAGCAGTTTCCTTCTAGCACAAGTGCTGCTCTTCCTCCTCTTGGCAGAGAAGTACTGGCCCATCAACCAGTGTTCCCCGGGCCCTTTCCACCAAAGCTTTAGGAGCAAGGCCGTCCAGCTAAAAGCATCACACAACTGGGCTAGAGGTTCAAACTTTTTTGCATGCTGTCATCGCTGGTTACAAATATATAGAGTGGGCTAAAAAGGACATTAGGGTCTTAGGCGTGTTTATTTTAGGGGCTCGACCCAACAATGGTATAATAAGTTAGAAGGCCTACTTCTTGTCATAATATGTTCCATCAACAACAGCCAGCAGTTTGATGAGGAAAGTGAGACTTGTAAAACTAGAATTATAGTCATGACATACTGAAGACATAATGGCATACATCAAGCTTGAAACAGCTAATATGAATGCAGATTTGGTTAGTAATCCTCATGCGTCTGTGGCAAATATCACTGAGGTCTGGAAGTCGAGGCTTTCATCATCCAGTTTTGTCGTCTGACTTCAAAAGACGTCACAACCCAAAGACTGATCACTAGCTATTACGAGTTATCTCAGAGGTCCATTGTTTCAGAGGATAAAGCTTGCTGTGTTGCAGAAGGCCTTGAGAATATGTTGACTTATTATGTGTGTGGAACTGAAGCCACGATCTAAAGCCAGCCTGTCATAATCTAAGACTTGCTGGCTAAAAAATGACAGAGGGAGTATCTCACTTTTTGGTCAATGTGGTTTCAGTTTTTCCCCATATGAAGCTGATTAGCAGTACCAGGTTTTTCCCTTTCACATTGTACGCAGCTGTTATTCAACGTGGCATCCGTGGACAATGCTTGGCACCTATGGCAGTGGGCTTTCAGTGCCAGTTCCATGTCTCTCTTTGTTAGTCCAAAAAGCAATAATTGGCAGGAAGGCTGAGACTGACGTAGGTTGAAGAATGGCAAAGCCTAATGGAAGTGTACAGCTACAAATCTACTCTTGCCTTTGGGGAAGCATGTCTGTCTGTATTTTACTACCATGCCAGCACCCCCTCTGGCCAGAGAACAAAGAGAAAGATGTGCACAAGTTGAACTTCCTCCAGATTAGGTTCTGTTGCTGTCGCTCACCAATTACACTTTTCCTGGGTGGTGAATAGTACAACTCCAGTACTGTGCAGAAGTCTTGGGCCACCTGAGATTATTAGATTTAAAGCTATTATATCTGGGCAGTTGGCATTTACCTGTTAAAAATACTCACATTAGAATAAGTACAATAATACAATGAACTGTGTTTTTATGTCTGTCAGTATATTATTTCCAGATTACTCTTTGAAGGAACCTGAATTGGTTCATGGTTCATTAAATGTGTCATTAAATGTAATAAATAGGTTGGGAATGCAATGGCTGGTGTGCATTGAACAGAAGAAAAAATTAAAGTAAAATTTCACATCTGGATTATAGCTTGGTTTGCACTTACACTAATGGAGGTTAACATTCTAACTGATATGGTCTAAATCAGCAGTTATTTGATTTGTAAAATGTGTGCTAGATTTCAACATACATGCGAAAATAAGTCTAACAAAGTCATGACTGACCAGGGCAGTGCAGGGTGTAATGCACAGCATAATGTAGAATACAATAGAACTATGCACATTTCTTTCATGAACCCTCTCAAGCAAGATAAACTATGTTAGATGTTACATGTTTAAACTGTTTTGGTAGAGACTTGTGGGTTTAATATCATTGATTTTCCCATTTTTCCTGCTTTGAATTTAACAAAAAGAAATATTCTTACAAATCTATCTTTTTTATACTCCACTTACTGTAGTGGGGCTGGTTGTTATGAAACTTTTTGTATTTGCCACAAACTAGTTCATTTTGTGAGTAAGCAGTACAACTCTGCACTATTGGTATTTATAACTGAAAAATAATATTGGCATGTTATACTTAAGTTTGTTTAGTAAGTGTTACACGTAAAACACATTTAGCTTCAAATAGATTTGTCACTAAAATTTTGGCTGAAATAAAGCAAAAGATTAAACAGGTCTACAATAAAGTGTCAAAATCTAACACTCTTTTGGCCATTACAGACTCCAAAACTTCAGATTGCTAGGCGGAAGTCCCAAAGCCATGTCCACATGCTTTGCGTATGAACCAAATTAGGTATTTTCCATCATTATAGTAGAGACGCTCTGGAATTCAGCTATAGATGCCTTTGGGAAACCATGCAATATTATATTTTCATTATTTTATAACTTGCTGGCCTAGGAGCTTTGCACAGCAC